TGATATAACTATATATCAATACGGAAAAATGTTTTATATTTTTTTTATAATATAACAATGTCAAAAGCCCGAAGGATAAGCAAAATTTCCGTGTTTACAAGCGGCGGAAAATTTCCCGTGTTGACATTGAGTTATATCAACACGGCTCTTAGCCAATCAGCGTTCAGAATTTACAAATGCTATATTATAAAACTATATATCAATACGGAAAAAATGTTTTATATTTGTTTTATAATATAGCAATGTCAAAAGCCCGAAGAATAAGAAAAATTTCCGTGTTACAAGCGGCGGAAAATTTCCCGTGTTGACATGGAGTTATATCAACACGGCTCTTAGCCAATCAGCGTTCAGAATTTACAAATGCTATATTATAATTATGATTATTATTATGGATAGATAATTCATTTCTTTATCAGATTTTGTAGCCTTTATCACATATGTTAATTACATGGAAATATGAATACAAGCATTTTAGTCTACTGCCGTTTTTTTTGGAAGATTGAAGTTCCTCACCACCCCGTAAAACCCTACCACCACCCCGTAAAATTCTGGACTTTATCCCTAGTATGTAAAATAACATTTCCCGCATTCAGACAGCACCTTTTGGGCAAAAAATAACCGCTTTAAAACAGGTTAACGACGTGTTGAAGAATATGCAACGATCAAGTACTTTCTTCACAGCCAATCATTCCCATTTGTCCTTCGGGGTGTGTTGTGAGGGTACTACGAGTTACGGAGAATGATTGAGTTTCAAAATTCATTTGAAGATTGAGTTTTTACTGCCGTACATCAGTGGTTGAAAAGTGCTTGTATTAATCGCTGATATCACACAGAAAATAAAGCGAATGCAGTGCCGTAGGAAGCGCTTTTTGATTGGGGGGGGAGGAGGGCTGAAAACGAGGGCCGAAGGCCCAAATTGAACGCCGGGGAAATTATTAGATTTAAAGTGTCTGAGGAATTAGATATAGGGGAAATTATTAAATTTAAAGTGTCTGAAATGCCATTTCCTGGACTTTGGGGAAGATTTGACAGAATTTTGATGGTCAGAAAACAGCGTTATAACACGTCGAAATGTACAATTTGTTTGGAATTTACTAAATGGGCGAAGGCATATTTAATTAACTATATATTGGATAAGTTGCAGGAAAATATGGGTAATATCTTCATTCTTTGCAGTTTGTCATGGATAATGTAACCGCTTAAAATTAATCAATTGTCAGTATTTTAAAGGTATATTATTTAATGGTAAAGGCCTGTATGTTTTGAAAAAAGAATGATTATTGCTACGGCCCTGAAATGTTGTCACTTTTATGAGTCCAATTTGTAAATCTATTTTTCTTTGAAGTTCACAGAAGTATAATTAAATATTTACCACTTTAAACATAAATAAGAAATTATGAAAGGGATAAAAATGTACTTCAATCACTAAATAGCTGTATTTTATTTTTGTATACAAAGTGTACATTTAACCCTTTAAGGTGGCTCCCTACAGTTGTAAAGGAACAGCTCAGCGAAAAATAAGGTCTTCACAGTAACGCAAAATATTTGCTATTTATGTGAAATGGAGATCTTTTGGAATTACAAACACTTGCGTAATCTTTATACTTCAAGCAAAATCATTTGAAAGTGA